ATAAAGAAAAATAAAATAAAATAAAAAATAAAAAAATAAAAAAAATAAAATAAATAAAATAAATAAATAAAAATAACAAAGAATAGAAAAAATAAAAAATAAAATAATTAATTAATTTTTTATTTAATACCTTTATTTCACATTTGTAATATCAATACAGATGCCACCCAAGTATGTAACAAAATATGTAACAAAACCTGAGCCTTCAGAAACCTTCAATATTGATAACCATGACAACTATAGAACTCACATACAAGCAAGAAGACTAGGTAATGGAATTAATGATCTTATTTTTTCAATATCAAATAACACGATCGATAGTCTCGGTTCAATACTTACCCTCCGCTCTCTCAAATCTACGCACCAGAGCAGTAAAACCTATATACCTACAACTAAGAGCCCTTGAAAATGACGACGATGATGAAGAGAAACCTACTGGAATAATGCAATAGATAAATACTTTAGCTGCCCGAAGACAGATGAGTTCAAGAGTATAACTTACTCTGAATACTTTTGAGACTATACTATAACCTAAAAATTACACCACCATCACAATCCGCAAGACAATCCTGTACAAGAGACCAAAACAATTATTACGTAATTAAAAGAAAAAAGCCCCTTCTTCTAAGATTCGTAAACTACAAAGTAGAAGATGGTAAGCTTTAAATTTTAACTCACAACGTCATATAAAATATTATATGTTGCTTTATAACAACAATAATAATTATAAACATGACGATTCCGATTTTGAACCTAAACTATCAAATTAATAACGATAATAATAATGATCATATAAAAATTTAAATAAATCTAAACTAAAATTTTTATTAATTACCCATACCTTAGGTGAGCCATTCTTCTTTCAATATCTTATAATGAAAATTTCATGCTACTCAGAAGAAGAACTTCTCGAAAACTATTCAACCTATCTCGAAAGATTCAAATCCCTATACCCTGACTATTATGAACGAGAAATAAAAAGATTAACCAACACCACTGTATCTCAACAAATCCGAACCTCAACTGCGTATAAAGAAATCGTGAAAAGTATACTTACCAACCTGAATAACATGGAACTCCATGAAATAATCCTCAACCAACTAATTTTGCTAGAATGCAAAACACCTTCAATCGATCCACATTTTACACTATTGCTAGACAAAGACCAATATTTAACTTATGACTTTCTTTGTAACTCCTGGGAACCAGAATATCAAGGCAAATATCCTTACTTCTTTCTAACTGGATCGGCGGTACAGGTAAATCGTACCTGTTATATATAATCATCAGCCTCTTAAATTCGAAAAAAATCAATCACATCGTAATCACGCCAACTGGTGTAGCTGCACAAAATGTCAGTAGAAAAACGAATCATTCTGCCTAAAAATAAGGCAAACCTATTCACACTATAAAACCTTGGCAGTTCACGATCCAAATACAAAAGAAGATCTAAAAAAACTTGAAGCCATAATAATAGAGGAAATATCTATAGTTTCTAATGATTTATTCTCATTCATAAGTAACTTATTCGGCTCAATTCACAATAACTCAAAATTATTTGGAGGAATTTCTGTACTTCTAGTCAGAGATCTCTTCCAATTGTCACCAATAAATGCCGAACACGTGTTTCACTCTCCCGTTTGGAAAAGATTCTTTCCACTGTTCCTAACCCAACCTAAAAGGCAAAGAAACGACCCTAGCTTTTACAATCTACTCCAAGAATTACGATATTATCGTTTTTCCGAAATATCAAAAAAATGATCAAAGATAAAATCAACAACACCTCCGATCTCAATTACGATGCTATCTCCTCTACTCATCTTGTAGGCATACAAGAAACTGCCAAAGAAATTAATAAATTAATTTGCAATAACCTTCCAACCAACGAATATGGAATCGACTCAATAACCTCGAAAGCTATTGACACCCTCAATCATAACCTACTTAACACAAATAACAATAGACACTTAAACTTTAACTGCTATACAAACTTACCCGATGAAGTAATCTTAAAAGAAGGTGCAAGAGTTATGTTCCTAAACAATAAACTATTCGACCACAACATTTGCAACGGTACAATCGGTGTGATCACAAACATAATAAATGACCATACCATTAAAGTCACTTTTCCAACCATGACCAATATCACCAAGCTAAACCTACAAAAAGAGACGACCTATTTTGATATCAACGGAAATCCCGCATCTACTGTAGATGTCAATTCCCCATTCAAAACGCTTTTGCACTCACGATTCACAAAACCCAAGGATTAACTTTACCTCACACAACAATAAACGTGGACCAAAACATATTCGCAGAAGGTCAAGTCTACATCGCAATGAGCAGAGCTCCTACATGGGAATCCATTAACATTATCAACTTTGATTTTACTGCTGTTAAAACAAACAGGTCGGTAATAGAAGAATACGCACGACTAAGCGAAATACATAGAAAAGGATTAGCACATATGCTACGTAGTTAAATAATCCTATATACTGCTCTTTTAAATACTTACCATCTCTTAAAAGGTATACTATCACGTTTAAACTACCATTTAAAGTTGATACCTACATCTCCAAAGTTAAAGTTACTTTTTTAATGCTTCTAATATTAGTAGTCTATAAAAATATCAAGAACACGATTTAAGCAAAATGTAAATCGATATTTAATAAAATTCGTGCTGTTGCACGATTCATATACTATCAACAGGAGGAAACGTTGATACGTCACAAAATCGTTACACAATTGATAAAAATTTTTTTT